TCTTCTTTTGCCCTACCACTTCACTCTTAAGATATTGGACTATATATGTAGTGTATTACAGTATTAGTGTAACTTTCGTGCTTGCAACTATGCAAAATCGCAACCAACACAAAAAAGTGTCAGAATTTGATAGAGATTTTCTTGGATATAATTGGGGGCGCTTGCGAATGTGTGTGTGTTTTTTTTCCTTACAAAAATATGCAAAAATAAGAGTCACGATTGATAGTCAACTATACGCCATAATAATAAGGGTGATAGACAATGAGATAGCATATAGGATATATAATGTTTTGCTTAATGAAACAAAATATGGAAGAATGATTTGTGTATGTATATAATAAAAGTATCTATCTATACTTATAAATCAAAAATCAAAAATCCTACGTGGCAGCTCCAGAGTGAGTTTAAGATTTGGTTTGCCTATATTACCCTTAATGAATCGATATAATTACATATTCATACCATCACATTTTTCTTATTAAAATACTCTTAATCGTTGGTCTATATTAATTGATTGGATCATAATTATTTAATTCGGATTTTCGTTAGGCTCATATAGATTCATCATTGTTTTATTTTATTGTATATATGTAATCGTTTGATAAACATTGATAAACATTTTAATGGGTTTGGCTAATTTTTATTTATTATAACTCATATTTCATATGAAATCCTATATGTCAATTATACAATTTCGTGTATATATATATATGTGAGCTTAAGGGTTTAGTCACAATTATCTTTTTTTCGTTTATTAATTTTTCATCGATCCTAACATATTTCTTCTTTCGTCTTCTTGCAGCAGGTTCACCGTGATTTATTCCTTCGTCTTCTCACAGCAAATTTACAGATCACATCATCTCTTTTGAGGTAATTTTTTTTAGTTGATCGATTTCGATGTCATAAAATATGCGGTCGTTTAAGGCCTGGAAAATCATGTTTACTTTACTGTTTCATTACTTCTCTATGCGTAATTTTTCTTTCTTAGTTCTTAGAGCTTTCGATTGATGAAAATCTCATTGTTCAGGACTAGAGGTAAGAATGAAAGTCTTAATTGTTTGTTGTGATTGTTACTGGCTTTAGAATGATCTCTCTAATTACAAAAATCTTATAGTTTGGAGAATGCATTCGGACGTGGTGGAGATCCAATTTTTAGACGATGTGCCTTTTTTTGCCTTCCAATCCAATGCACCCAAAAGTTATTTGGTTCCACTTCCATGGTAATTAAAGTCGAGACTTTTGTAGATTCACGCTTATACTTAAAGCTTTGCTCTATCCTCATATTTTGTTCACGAATACACAAAGTTTTTCTTTTTGAAACTGCGGATAAATTAACAGTTTGTTGTGCCTACTAACTTCAAATTCCTTGCTGTTCCATTGTACTAAATTGATGAAAACAAAACGGTATTTAATATTGTACTCGCATTTCTTTTACCTCATTGAGAACTTTTAAGTGGCGTTTTTGGTTAAACTAATATGATCAATTCATCAAGATGTCTTTCCCATGCTCTCACATTCTCGTGTTCCATTCATGTTTAGTTTACAGACTTATAGCCCAATCTATGTTCGGATATGTTGTGTTTTCTCTATGTTTTTTAATTTGCTATCTCTAGATTTAATTTACTCTTTTCTTTCTCTCTATAGTTTAATTTGTCTATCCATTCATAAACAATTTATTTCTGGAAAAGAATCATCCGCAATAGGTTTATCCTTTCTTTCATCTTTGTCAATGAAACTAAGGTTTGGTTTTCTGTGGAGCATTTACGAGCCTTCTGGTTTGGGATTGATGAGATTGGGG